CGTGCCCACGTGGAGCGGGGAGCGAGGTCGGTGCGTCTTTAGCTGCAGTCACTGGTTCCCGAGTGGCGCTGAGCAGGGCAGAGATGGGAGGTGGATTTCCACGGCGCTGCTCCAGTATTCACGCCTGCTGGAAAACGGCTCCCCTCATTGTTTTCGACACTCTTCCCAAGTCTTGTTTACACTCTTAATTTATTTCACAAAACCATTCTTAGCAAATAATATCAACAGATCCTGTGGGACTTAGCAAATAATAAGTGGGATCTAAATTAAAGTCAGCGGCCTGCATTGATTTTTATTTCTGCTTTTCAGACAAGGCAGCAGAGGGTCATCAGGTATGTGAGAATGTACTGGTGAATACGGGAAACCTGCAGAGCTAACTGGGCCTGATTTTCTTGGGGGGAATAAAAGGGTCATGGAACAGTCTCCTACTGGTAGGGAAATAACTGTAAGAATCTCAGAAGAAAAACGTCAGAAATAATATTTATCGAGGGTTTAATCTGCACCACGTACTATGCTGAGGGGGGCATCTTGTATTATCTCATCTAACCATCACAAACTACCCACCACCAAGGATTTTATTCCAACTCCCACTTTACATATGAGGGAATCAACACTCAGAGGGGTTAAGGAACTTGCCACCATCACCCAGCTAATAAATGACAGAGTGGAAAGTGGAACTCAAGTCTGTCTGCCTTCAAAGCCAATGCTCTTAATGAAGTAAGAGCTGGGTGTGGTGGCGCACACCTATAATCCCAGCGGCTCAAGAGGCTGAGGCAGGAGGATCTCGAGTTCAAAGCCAGCCTCAGCAACTTATCCAGGACCTAAACAATTTAGGGAGAATTTGTCTCAAAATAAAAACTGAAAACAGGCTCAGGATGTGGCTCAGTGGTTAAGCACCCCTGGGTTCCATCCCTGGTACCAAAAAAAAAAAAAAAAAGTCTATGACTCAAAAACTATCACTTTTGATATATAATAAGTATTATATATCAAAAACTGTGCTGAGCAAACATGACCTCTTTAAAACTTCCTTGACATTAATGCTCATGAGATTCTTGGTTAGATCTAAGGGTCAGCGTAAGAGAAAAACCACAAGAACAAGGAAAACCTGTGGAAATGAGTCACTGATTTGCTGAGGTTGCAGAACTTGGGGTCATTTCTATCTTAGTTGTTAGGCATTTTTCCATAAATCAACATTTATGTTTCATGAAAGAGTAAGAATTTGTTTGGCGCCTTTTCTACAGTTGATAGTGAATGATCATGGTTGGGCAAAAGCCCCCACCTCACCCATCCTCAGCTTCCACATCAGTAAAATGGGGCGGACGACGGCTCCCTGCCAGAGGGACTGTCAACATGGAGTGACACGGATGTCTGCAAAAGCACTTTAGCTGTGTTTCTTAAAAACCGTACGCGTAGGCCTAAAGCCAAAGAGGGCTTAACCATGCTGTGGTGTTTGCGTGAACCTGATCACCCAGATGCATAAACACTGTGGAAAAGCGTGAGCATTAACAATTAACACGGCCTGGTGCTGGCCCACAGGGACACAGACAGAGCCCGGGAGAGGCCAGAAACAGGCCACCCACGTATGGGAACTTGGTATAGGATAACGTGGAATGTTGGATCACGGGGAATGAGATATTTTAGTGCCTATGTCAGAACAACTGGGCAACCAAATGGAAAAATAAGAAGTCGGAGGCCGACCTTATCGTTTATCTGACATAATAATAATTTCCAGATGTTTCAAAGATTTAAACATGAAAAATAATCAAGCTATAAATTCCAAGGAGATAACACAGGAGAATTGTTTATCTTAGAAGTAAATATCTTGTTTAAGTAAGACACAAAGATACAAAAGCCATAAGGGAAAAGATTTCTAAATTTGACCATATAAAAATTTTAATTTTCTGCAAGTAGTGCTGTGTGATGTTTACACACACACAGTGTGTATAAATAACCAAGTTGAAGTGACAAATATCTCCATCACCGCAAATGATTTATCATGTCGTTGTCAGGTACCCCACAAGTATGTATAATCATTACATGACAATTAAAGATAAATAAATAAACCTACTCTCTGTAATTGGTTGGGTTCACTTTGCTATACAAAAGAGTGAGTCTTCTTCCTGTTGTTACAATTCTTTTAACAGATTGCCTGTGAAATGTATCGCATTCTAGTTTAATGCTCACTCAATAATAAAATTGTTTCCTTTTGACTCGAGAAAAAAAAAATCCTGCAAGGAATAAAAATCCCAAAGTAAAAGGTAAGTGACAAACTGTGAGAGAATATGTCAAGCTATGTGACAGACACGGGGCTGAATCTCTTAATAAATGCTTAATTGACAATATTTAATGAGCAGCTATTATGTGCCAGGTGCCAGCCTAAGCATTTGCGGATTCAAAACAATTAGAACTCCCCACCTCGTGGAAATTACATTCTTCTGAGGGACAGAAAGGGATCTTCCACCCTAGCAGGAAAATAACAATTAAAAATAAGCAAACAACCAAGCACGGTGGCACATGCCTGTAATCCCAGCAATTTGGGAGGCTGAAGCAAGAGGATGGTGAGTTCAAAGCCAGCCTCAGCAAAAGCAAGGCACTAAGCAATTCAATGAGACCCTGTCTCTAACTAAAATCAAAACAGGGCTGGGGATGTGGCTCAGTGGTTGAGTGCTCCAGAGTTCAATTTCTAGTACCCCTCCCCCCAAAAAATGAGCAAAGAATATAAACAGTTCACAAAACTGACAAGTCAAACAGCATTTAAGCATATGAAAAACTGCTCTGCCTCAAAGAAAATAAAGTGCAAATTAAGTTTCAGAAAGATACAATTTCATCCATCAGATTTTCCCAAATCAAAAAGTGTGATCATATACCAGGTTGGCCAAGGTACCTAGGAACAAATACTCTCTTGGGTTGGGGACGAGTGTAGATTGGTTCAGTGTCCTTGAAGAACAATTTGTCTGTATTTATCACAATTACAAAGACCTCTGCCCTTTGGCCCATCAAGTCTACTTCTGAGCATGGACATGACAGATGTGTTTGTGTATGTATACAGTAAGCGGTACATACGAATTCTACGGGAGCAGAGACTGACAACGGCGTAAATAGCCAGGAGTGAGAGACCAATTATGCAAATACAGAATGTATCTTAAAATGGTACAAGACTTAAAAAGACTATAGTCCCGAGTCGCCGTGTGCTCACCTGTAATCCCAGTGGCTCAGGATGCTGAGGTAGGAGGACGACAAATTCAACGCCAGCCTCAGAAATTTAGCTGAACAACTCAGTAAGACCCTGTCTCAAAATAAAATATATTTAAAAAAGACTGGGGATGAGCTCAGTGGTTAAGCTCCTCTGGGTTCAATCCCTGGTACCAAATATAAATATATGCTGAAAATAATAAGGTGGATCCCCATATGATGAAAGATTCTTCAAAATATATTAAGTAAACAAGAGCAAATTTCAACAGTTATGCAATGCTGTGCTGGTAATGTTTAATAATGCAAAAATATTGTAAGGCTGTGCATAGGCACAAAAGATAATTGTGAATTTTAGTAATATAGAGGATGTATAGCGCACAATTGGCAAATAATAGAACACACACCACTCTTCGTTGTAAATTTCATCCTATAACATCAGTGTGATGTGTTATTTTTTTTTAAAACCCATTGTCAACTTTTTAATAATTCCATCGAGCATGATTGTGTCCAAATCAAACTATGAATAAGCTTGGTTACCTACCATTCAATCCGCAAGGAAGTTGCTTGGTTTGTTGACAAATGAGCATGGTTCAGACGTGAACGTTGGTGAATGTTTCATTTTTGTACGTGGGTAAGATGAATGGACAGATGTGTGTGTTGGAACTTCACTTGTGTATCAATGACATGAGCAGCTTCTTTGCTAAATCAAATAATAGTTTTTAAATACAGGGGAAACACATTTGAGCTCTCCACATAAAAGCTAGAGTGATTCTCTTTGGAAGTTAGGGTGATTCTCATTTTCTTTTTTTTTTATTATTTTTTACTTATATATAATAGTGGAATGCATTACAATTCTTATTACATATATGGAGCACAATTTTTCACATCTCTGGTTGTATACATAGTATATTCACACCAGTTCATGTCTTCATACATGTACTTTGGATAATAATGATCATCACCTTCAACCATCATTGATTACCCCATGCGCCCTTCCTTCCCCTCCCACCCCTCTGCCCTATCTAGAGTTCCTCTATTCCCCCCATGCTCCCCCTCCCTACCCCACTATGAATCAGCCTCCTTCTATCAGAGAAAACATTCAGCATTTGGTTTTGGGGGATTGGCTAACTTCACTTGGCATTATCTTCTCTAGCTCCATCCATTTATCTGCAAATGCCATGATTTTATTTTCTTTTATTGCTGAGTAATATTCCATTGTGTATATATGCCACATTTTTTTTTTTAGATTTCATCTCCCTCCAGTCAGAATGGCAGCTATTATGAAGATAAACAACAACAAGTGTTGGCAAGAATGTGGGGGGAAAAGGCACACTCATCCATTGCTGGTGGAACTGCAAATTGGTGCAGCCAATATGGAAAGCAGTATGGAGATTCCTTGGAAAACTGGGAATGGAATCACCATTTGACCCAGCCATCCTTCTCCTCGGACTATACCCAAAGGACTTAACAATAGCATATTACAGGGACCCAGCCACATCAGTGTTTATAGCAGCACAATTCACAATAGCTAAATTGGGATTCTCATTTTCTCCACTGCTCTCTTAAGTCTAGACCAAGGGTCAGCCAACGAAGGCCCTCAAGCCCAATCTAGTTTGGCCTCTGGTTTTTGTCAGCACAATCTGGAAGCCTGCTGCTTGCTTTCAGCTACATGTGATACATTTGTGCCCCCTCGACGGCGGACATGTGGCCCACCAAGCCTGGGATGTTTACCATCTAGCCCTTTCCAGAAAGAGTTTGCAGACCCTTGCTCTAGACAATCAACAAAACACAGACCAGGCTCTGACTGGTAGCCCTGGCCGATTTCCAAAGTGTAAATACTCCGGCCCTGACCCACCTTAAGCCACAAATATGTCCTCATCGTATATGGAGCTTGAAGTTCAAAGGGCACACCACTCTGTGGTATTTCCAAGCTACAGATGTCGCATAGCTGTAATAGTCAGAAATCTTAATAAACCTCAAGAACATACATAATGGTAAGGTGTGGGAAAGCAATAAAGAAGCCACAAGTTTTGACCAGAAACTTGCTTTTAATAAAACTGAATGGACTGAAAGGTCATAGAACTTCATTTTTAATAATGGCACTAATAACCAGCTCATAAAGCTCCTGAAAATCTAACAGTGGCCCCTTTCAGCTGATCCAGCGCCACAGCACAACAGTAGGGAAGGCACACTGACCAATACAGGAGACATGTGGCAGAGAAGGTATGTCGCCTGCCCACGTACGAGTCCACACCCACAGCGGATCTCAGGAAGACGCTGCTTCCGTAATTGCAGATCTGGGAGTTGAAGCGGAATACAGATTTATTTTTGACCATTGATTCTTTTGTGTAGAATATGAATTTTTCTTTACATCTGCCTGCATCACCCTTCAACTCCCATGGATCTTTTGCAAGCATGCTATTAAATCCATTTTTCCTGCGTCTCCCTCTGGCCCGGTGTATCTGAGCAATGCTGGTGGAGTGGCCTGGCACAGTCCCCTGCTGGAGCACGTCCCCTGGGGCTGCAGTTCACCAGGGCCAGGAGTCCCCGAGGCCCAGCAACAATCCCATGAACCAGCAATCCCCGGATGAGATGGCTGGCCCCAGAGCAACCTCAAGAGCTCTGGCCCCACGGCCTGGCCTGGCCTCCTCTTTCTTCCTCCGTCTCTGCTGCATCTTTCCTGGAAAAAAAAAATGAGTAAGCTTTTCCCTTTAACCAATTTTTCTGGCGTTTTCAAGGGCAAACCACAGCAGCGCCTGCCAGCAACTTCTGCCCGCCAAGCCTTCCTGACTATATTTACCCCAGGGCTCCTGTGACCCGGGGATGGGGCTGTGCTCACAGGATCAGCCAGCAAAGCAGCTGCCAGCCCAGGTCCACTCGCCTGACTCCCAGCCGGGGACCCAAGCGTCTGCCCCGTAGACCAGCCTGGCTACCCCAGGAACCATCTAGAAGACTTGCCCTGAGGCAAGGAAATGCCACCTCCTCCAACCAGGCCTCCAAGAATCATGGAGGCCGAATGTGTGTCTGCTGCTTTGTCTACTCCAAGCTGCTACGTCCGATTTCTGTCTGCTTGGGACCATCCAGGGCCCTGACTCTGGTCCCTGGTTGTCTTCTGTCCTTGAGGCTCTGCCCTCACTTGATCCTGACATAGGATCCAACTCTCCCAGCACCGTGCTGACCTGGACACTGGCTTCCGGAAGCACCTCCCCCCACGCCCAGCCTAGACTGACCGTCCTTGTCCATGTGCCCAGCTCTAACAGGGCACCACTTCTGCTAGCTCCCTGCCCTGTCCTCTGGCCTCTCATCCCCTTGAATCCACAGCCTCCCGTGCCCCCAGCCCCACCTGAGACTCCAAACAACAAATGGGCTTCCAGTTTCCTAAGGCCAAGGACGTACCCTGTGATTGAGGTTTCTTTAATGATGGCGGAAGTGTCTCTGCTCTTCCATCCGGTTCCTAATAGCTCCTCTCTCCAGCCCCCACTCCAGGCCAGAGGAGGTCAGAAGCTGCCTCAAATGAGAATCTGTGAAACAGACACAAGTTAACACGAAAGGGATTCACCAGGATGCATTCCCATGAAATAGCAGTAAGAGGGTGGGCAGGGAGGGCAGGAAGGAGGAGGAAGCCAAGGGAGATGTCTGCCAGGTGTCTTCTCCTGCTTGTCAAGCAGAACCAACGTGGAGGCCCAAGTCCATCGTCATTTCTACGATGCCTACAGATTCTATGGCCCAGACGTAGGACTGGGCCGTAGAGACGGCTGATTTGTGTTCCACTGTGTCTGCAGCCTCACCTGGAAGACTCAACACAGGGTGGCCCTGCGAGTAGAATCTAGAACCATCTGGAAGCTTCTTTACATATAGGGCTCTTTAGCTGGGATGAATTGAAACTCCAGTCGTTGGCCAGTAGACCTACATGTGGCCTTTCACATGTGGCTGTTGAGTTCTACGAACAAGCATTCCAAAGTGCAGACAGAGTCTGGGGACCTGGGTTGTTAAGGTCTGTAAACAAGTCAGGATGGCGCCTGGCATTTTGCAGAGGGAGTGGTTTGAGAAGTAACGCCAGCGAGCCATTAAGTGTGGAGATTCCTTATTGGTTGACTGTTGTATCTAGTTTATGTTAATTAAGATAAGCTGTGTGGAATGTATATATACCCCTCCTGTCCTACAATAAACGGCTCCCACTCCTGATGTATCAATCTACACAAGTTGTTCGTCACCCCCTGGCTATTTTGCTGCAGCCGGACTGCGGCACTGGGTTCCATGAAGCCAAAGAAAAAACTGTAGGATTTTTTCTAACCTGTTTCAGAAGCTAGTAGTAAAGCTCCCTTGATTCACCTCCATTCTCTTCACACAAACGGTTGGTCAGTCCAGATTCAAGGCGGGGGAGGAGGTTAGCTCCAAATCATTTTTTTCCCTTTATTTTTTTTTAATTTGTTTTGATTAGCTCCAAATCTTGATGGGCACATAGCAGAGTTGCATGGTGAAGAGCGTGGAGGATGGGAGGTACTTTTGGGCCCTCTTTTCAAGTACCACCTGTGTTATAGTCAGCTTTTTCTTCACTGGGACCAAAAGACCTGACAAGAACAACAGAGAGGAGGAATGGTATAGTTTGGTTCCTGGTTTCAGAGGTTCAGTCCACAATCAGCCAACTCCACGGCTCTGAGCCCAAGTCGAGGCAGAACATCATGGTGGAGGCACATCGCAGAGGAAAGCAGCTAAGGACCTGGCCACCAGGAAGCAGAGAGAGAGCTCCACTCACCAGGGACAAAATATAAACCCCAGAGGTATGTGACCTCCCCCCTCCAGCCACCCACTACTGCCTACAATTCCTGCCTGGCTAATCCATAGCAGTGGATGGATCCTCTGATCCCGTTCTCTCTCTCATGGTCTAACCATGTCACCTCTGAACATCCTGCATCGTCTCTCACATGCACTTTGGGGGGCCACCTCATCATCTGAACCATAACATCCTATCACATAAACATGTTCCATTGGCGGATGCCACATGGGACCCTCTGGAGAGTGTACTTGTACCCTGGAGTCGATCCAATCAGAGGCTGAGGAGCTGGACCATTTACATCCATGCATCCGTCCATCTTTGGCCACAGGCTGCCCCAGGGAGGACACCAATTTGCAGACCCTCTGTCTCTCTGACACTGCAGGCAAAGCAAGCCCTGGCAGCCTGGGGGCAACCCTGTAAGAAAGACATCCATTGGGCTGGGGATGTGGCTCAAGCAGTAGCGCGCTCATCTGGCATGCGTGCGGCCCAGGTTCAATCCTCAGCACCACATACCAACAAAGATGTTGTGTCTGCCAATAACTAACTAAATAAATAAATATTTAAAAAGAAAGAAAAAGAAAGACATCCGTGCTGGCCCCTGGAATTAAAGCAATGTGGGTACAGGTGTCTGCGAAACTGGAAAGGGACCCAAGGTGGTAGGGGACACAGAATTTTGACCAACAGAAAATCCCACAGCGTCACCCAACACTCATTCAATCATGCATTATATTGAGCTGGTGCCAAGACACAGTTAAGACAGATCTAGAGCTTCTGACAGCTCACAGTCTGGCAGGACCTCGAGCATGTAAAGTCATCATCACCACCTAATGCAAAGGAGGCCAGGTCTGTAGGAGGCCACGTGGAGTGATGGTGTTCCCAGATGCCACAGAGCGGAACAGATCCTGGTCCCCACTATGACCACGGGGTGGCCTCTTTCACAAAATAGGGATCACAGGAGCGCTTGCTCTGCAGGCAGGAGGTGAAGAATGAATGAAGTTACACATAAAGTAATACGGAGGACCACTACGACAGTGCCCCTGATACAGGCGAAGCATCACAGGTGTTAGCAATTGTCATTGTGCTTATTTTGGCAAAAGCTCAAGAGAAGGAAATATCCTCCCAACTGGAGGTAGACATGGGGGACGCACCTTGGGAACTTCACACAAGACCTGACACTTGAGCAGGATTTGATCCTTTGGGTTCTCTGTGTGCCAACCTGGGGCTCAAGGCAGGGCAGAAGGGAAGTCCTCCACTTGACAGGCAGCTGCTAGTCCACGGCTGTGGTCTTCGCACCCAACTGGACACTCGGTGCAGCTCAGCAATCCTCCTGCCGGCCTGGTGCTCAAAATTGCTACCTGATCTCCACAGTCTGACTCAGTTCTTCCCTGGCATGAAGGTGACCTCTTGAGTCTGAACATTTATTATTCCTTGGGTTCTGGGGTGAGGAAAGTGTGAGCGGCCCTTCTGGGTAACTCTTTATCCAAATCTCTCATGAGGTTATGTTTGAGGCTCTGGCTGAGGCTAAGTCACCTGAAGGCGTGACAGGGTGGTGACAGAGTTCCAAAATGGGGCACTTTGTTGGCAGGAGGCCTCAGTTCCTTGCTGGCTACTGGCAAAAGAGGCATCAGGTTGTTGCAATAGAATTTCTGTCTTGGGCTACTTCAATGTCGTCAGATGATAGCACCTGGCTTCTTTCCAGGCAAATGACCCAAGAGAGAGCAAGGAGGAAGCCACACCGTCCTTCGTGACCCAGGCTTGGAGGTCACACCATCGGGTACCCTCTATTTAATTGCTTACGAATCAGTCATTAAGTCCACCTACATCCGAGGGGAGGGGAAATTACCTCCATCTTCTGAAAGGAGAGTAACAATGTGAGAATCGGCTGAATATGTGTGTGTAGACCTAAACCATACGTTTCTTCTCATCTTTACCTAAACACAAGCACACCATAAGTGTCGGGTGACCCGCAATTTCATCTGACATTATACTTTTGACATCCATTCACTGGGCACATTGTTTAGGTTTTCTCTGGCTGCCGTAGCAGAGCACCACAGACGGAGTGGCTTAAACGGCAGAAATTGATTTTCTCCCAACCCTGGAAATCGGAGGTCCAAGGCGAAGGCGGCAGCAGGGCCTCTGTCACCGGCATGTGGGTGGCCATTTCCTCGTGTGTCCTCACGTGGTCTTCCCTCCTGATCTTCTCTTCTTCTAAGGACACCCGTCAGAGTGGACTAGGGCCCACTCAGATAACCTCACCAGAATTAACCACCTCTTTACTAAAGCTCTCTCCATGTACAGTCACAGTCCAAGGTACTGCAACGTCGACTTCAAGACACGACCTTCCTGTGTTCACATGTGAATACGCCACCATGAGACTGCACATCATCTGCAACCACGAGGATGCAATGCTGATTAGAGTAAGTTACACTCCATGTACAATATGTATGCATAATCTGTATGTATTAGTTACACTCCATGTATCTGTAATATGTCAAAATACACTCTACTGTCATGTGTCTCTAAAAAGAATTAAAAAAATTTTTTTAAAGACTTCAAGATATGAACTTTTAAGGGATACAATTCAATCAATAACACACAAATAACTTGTTAATTTTCACTGCTCTTTAGAATCTCAATTATGAATGGACAAAGTACATTTTCTTCTACTAATGATGAATGGTTTTGTTCTTTCCAATTCTTTGTTATAAACAACACTGTCCCTTGCCCCCTGACACTCTGAACGTGTAGGATCAATGCACCTTCATATTTACTGTTTGCCAATTTTCTTAAAAAGCAGTTGAACTAATGTACTCTCCCCTGGTAGCACCTCAGAGGTCCTCCTGCTCCCCTTCTTACCAATGTTCGGGATTGTCAGACATTCTAATGTTGCTGATCTCGTGGGTGCAAAACCGTCTCTCCCTTGTGGTTTAATTAGCATTTTCCAGATTACCTAGAAGAAAGAGAATCTTTTCCTTTGTTTATGACTCACTTTTTCATTTCCTCTGACCATTTTTTCCACTGGGCCCATCTCTTTTTCCTTATTGATTTGTCAAAATTCTTCCCCTCTTGGTATTTCCCACCAGTTATGAATCAATCTTTTTACTTTATGTGTGTGTGTGTCTCTGTGTGTGTGTCTGCATGTGTGTGTATCTGTGTGCATGTGTGTCTGTGTATGTGTGTGTGTGTCTCTGTGTGTGTGTGTGTGTGTGTGTGTGTGTGTGTGTGTGTTGTGGTGCTGGGGACTAAACCCTGGGCCTCAGGCCTGCTAAATCAGTGCTCTACTACTGAGCTATACTCCCTGCCCTATCTTGCCAGTTTTTATTTTGGGTTTCTTGGTTTGTTTTAGTTTTGGTCTAGGGTTTGGGTGCTCAACCACTGAGCCACACCCCCAGCCCTTTTTATTTTTTATTTTGAGCAGGGTCTCGCTAAGTTGCTTAGGGTCTTGCCGAGTTGCTGAGGCTGGCTTTGAACTTCCAATCCTCCTGCCTCGGCCTCCCCAGCTGCTGGGATTATAGGCATGTGCCACCATGCCCCCGCTAGTCCCTTATTTTTGTCAGGCTCCCATTCCTCTGGTTTGTGTTCTTCTTGATCCTTTTCTCTCAGGTTCTACCCACTATCCCTGGTCAATCAACCCAAAGAATGAACTTTTCACTGGGCTTGCTCCTGGATCCTAAGTCCGTATCTTGAATACAGCTGTGCTGCATATTCTTCAGATTCACTGAACTTCCCGCCCCTTTCTGTCTAGCCTTTGAATTTTGGCACACATCCCCCACTCTTGGGGGAGATATTGCCTCCCACCTCTGCCCCACTTCCCCGCTCAGCTACCCTTTGAGTCTCAGGTCTCAGCCTAAGGGACCTCTTCACTGTATTCCCAAGGCACCCTACAAAGTACTCACAGCGCTTAGCACAGTAATTACCTTTTTCTTGGCCATCTCCGCCAACAGACCATGAATCCTCAGGACATTACACCTAACTCCACATCTGTATAGTTAACATGCAACAAATCCCTGAGAATGAATGAATTAATAGGTTTCCCTGGGTAAAAAAAAAAATTAAAAAAAATATATATATATATATGCTCACCTTTAAAACTAACACACAAGTGTGCAAATAATTTGTGTTATTATAGCATGACATAAATTCTATGCATTAATCTTCAACGTAAACTTAAAACAGCCTCTGAACCCTAATTCCCATCATAAATGTATTAAGAACATGCAAAACAATAGTTAAGATCCCTCAAGGGTCTCCATTCAGCCGAGAGTAAAATGCTGTAACAGGAAAATGCAGACAGAAGCTCTCAGGTCCCCTGAGGATTCCAGCATAGACCACGTTCCCTTCCTGACCTTGACCTCACATCCTACACCCCCTCCAGAGATAAACATTCGCTAGGCAGAGCTGCCTAACCTGGCCGTACCTGGACGGTGGGTGCTCTTGGCACACCAGGGAGAGACTGAGCAAACGGGAGCACGACACACTACTTGGTGGTGGCTCTGCTCTTCCTGAAGTCCTTCATTTGGCATCGCTACCTTCTAGTCAAAGTCAGAAATGCCAGCTTCATGCTGAGCCGACAGCTAGAGAGGCAAATAAAAGGCTTGGCAGTGGGCGGTTTAAAAACGACCTGCAGTCTTCTTGTGACGTCTTTTTGTGGTTGAAATGTTGTAGAACAGGTTTACTATTTTGTTTTCCTCTGAGACGAATTCTCTCAAGCAACTTTTCCTTACGGAGAAAAGTCCATCAATAATTTCTAAGTTACCAGTGCAGACTTTCTCAGCCTCGGCTCTATGAACGTGTTGGCCTGATCATCCTTTGTTGAGGGAGGGACTCTCCTGTGCGTTGTAGGGGGCTTAGCAGCATCTCTGATATCTACCGAGTAGATGCCACTGGCAACCCCTAAGGTACAGCAACCAGAAGCATCTGCAGACGTAATCTCTGGGCTTTAGAATCTCCAAAGATCGATCAGTTTCCTGCCCCTGGCTACGATCTTTCACTCTCTTCTCCAATAGGAGGCTAATAAACACATAGAAAAAAAATAAATAAATAGGAGACACAAGTCCTAATGAGCTGAATGTTTAGCAATGATTCTCTTCTCATAAGCCCAGCCAGGGTTTAGACTTACCATTTCACAGCCCCACTCCAAAGTAGTGATTTCCAACAACAGAAATTCTCTTTCTTAAGCCACATGTTCAAGGACCTCTATGACCTGAGTTTGGAAAACTCTGGAGAGCACCACGCTAAACAGGCAGAGAGGCGAGACCTTCTTTGGCAATGACATTGGCAAAGATGTGGTTACGAGAGAAAAAGGGAGATTCATGGTGGTGACCACCACGTTGGAGAAGAAGGCTCCTAAGGTACTCAAAGTCATGACTGCACCAGAGACTGGCTCACAGCTCCTCGGGCAAGTGTTCGCTCATCTCACCAACCCAGGCCTCCCCCCGAGTCCCACCAACTTGTATCTGTATCAGCTGCTGTCGCTGTTACTTACACTGCTCTGCACCGTGAATGATTTTTTTCCTATGAGTATTTGTCCCCACTCGAGGGTACATTCCTAAAGGACAGTGACAGCATCTAGTGCAAAAGTTTACACAGAGCAGGTGCCTGAAAAGGATAACTGTCACAGCTGATTCCCTGGGAAAGAGAGAAGAGCCTGAGTTAATGAGTGGGGTGGTGATCAGCCTCTGGATTGAAAAAGTCGAGTGGATCTCAGCTGTAAGTCATTGACACTGATTAACAGCCAAGGAAACACTATAGAAGTTTATCAGTGTTCCTCAAAATTTAGTTTAAAAGCCAATTCCATCCATCAAACAATTTGAACATGATCTAATGCTGTCGGAGGATTCTTTCTCACAGTCAATGATTTTTCGAAAGTGCCTTTTGCTAGGGAAAGACAGGACCAAGCGAAGGCCTGTCCCTGGTCACACACACATTACCAAGTTCCTCTAGACCCCGGTGCCAGGTTGAGGCCAATGTCACTTCCCCCAGGCCCAATCAGTCATCTTCCCACTTTCCACAGCACCAACAGTGCATTGGTCTCCACCTGTTATGTTGCAATCTTGCCTTTGGCACTGCTGCATTTTATTCTTTGGAGGCAGCTGTGAAGCAAAGGAAGCTGATCGTAGATACAGCCTTCAGGGACGGAGGCCAAGTTCATCTTCACCGCCGTCCCATCATATTTGTTAACAAAAACCCAAGAGTCCTTGCCTGCTGACGTACAGCAAGAAAGGAACAGACTGAGCTTCAGAGGAAGGAGCAGGTGGGAGGCCCCAAGAGACAGACTCCACGTACCTGGACAGCCTCCGCCCTGCGCTGATTCCAGCCCCTACCCTTGAACTCTGACCTCGCCAGCCATCTCACTACCTCC